ACTAGCTGTCGTTAAGCTGTGTTATGGAGACACGATATAAGTACATTGTAACATTGAAAGCGTTTCATGTGGTGAGAGATGGAAGTATAGGGTGAACACAAGCAGTTAAAAGCACAGTGCTGTAGTATTAAATAGTTCCCTAGTAAGTCACTTTATCCCTAAGGCTTGCAAAATTCTTTGTCTGACCTTTGACAATTTAATGAGCACATGATCCACTGCATCTCTTTTATGTCCTTGGGGCTTCTTGGAACTGGATACTGATTTCTTCTGAGTTTGGCTGGTTTTCAGACATCATTTACTTAACTGAACTTTCTATGTGCTTTTCCTTTTTCTTATAGAACTCCCATAGCACAGAGGGTTGGTTCTGCAGGTAGCTTCACTCACTGGTCCTTTGAACGATTGTTTAATCACCTGTCTTTGAGTTCCCAAACCTTCCTTCTAGTGCTGGTGAAACTGTGCTCAGTATTAAACACACTTAATTAACTCTTGCTTTGTTCTCTGGCATTCCAATCCCCCCCCCCAAACAAAAACCCTGTAGGCCCTACCTGCTGTCAGAAACAGGTAAATCTCAAGCCAATACCCCAGGCTGCAGTTAGCAAACATGGAGTCTAAATGGGTGGCCCATGTTTTCCCAGGTAAAGGCTGTAGAGCTGCTCTCTCCTGACACAAGCTGGACAGTTTGAATGGCAGGTAAACCTGTGCTTCAAAGTAAAGAAACAGGATATAATACTAACCACAATTTAGAATTCTAGAGCGTGGTCACAAATTAATATTTATAAGACACTGAGTTCTGGATTCAATAAATCTGGTAAAACCCAGACACATGCTTTTTAAAAGTTGCAAACATGGCTTATTGCACCCTCTTGTTTTGAGAAATATCTGATGTTTGTTGAAGGCAGGGCCTTAAGATGATAAAGAGAGGCCAGGTGGTGGTGGCACACACCTTTAATCCCAGCATCCAGGAGGCAGAGGCAGTCGGATCTCTCTGAGTTTGAGGCCAGCCTGGTCTACAAGAGTTAGTTCCAGGGCAGCTTCCAAAGCCACAGAGGAACCCTGTCCCCAAAACAAAACAATAACAAAGATGACAAATATTTCAGTTGTTGTTGAAACCACAATTCCACAAAGAGTCATTGCTGTTTCCTAGGTCAGATCTGTCTGTCACCTAAGTCATTCAAGATTTCAGCCATTTCACCATATGGCTAAAGTGTGACATGGTGCAGCCAAGCCAGCAGCTGTCTCAGACCTATAAAAGGGTCAGAGTCCTGCAGTTTACAGAGGGAGGTGGCAGTTGCTCTAAACCAAGAAGCCAGTGTTCTGAATTAGGAAAGTAATGCAAGTTTATAACATAAACTCCACAGACAGTTTTAATACTGCGTTTTAATGCTGCTCTTTAATCTGCCAGTGATGATATTTGCCAGGGCTGCTTGGCATGGAGGCTGGAGGCATGGCACTAAAACCCCTCATTGGTGAAATAGTCACACTTCTGACAAGCTTGCAAAGAAGCAGTGTGTGTGTGTGTGTGTGTGTGTGTGTGAGAGAGAGAGAGAGAGAGAGAGAGAGAGAGAGAGAGAGAGAGAGAGAGAGAGAATGTGTATTCGAGGATATATAAGGGTGTTCATGTGTGTACAAGTTGGTGGATGCCCGCAGACAACCTTGGGTGTTGCTACTTAGGAGATGTATTACTGCTCTGAGGGGAAAGGTTCCCCCAGTGGAAGTGTTACAGCTCTAAACTGATAAGTACTCTGTCAAGGCAGTTTTGGGAGCCAGGGAATACCACAAACTGAAAATGCACAGCAAACCTCACACAAGAGACTTATTGAAAAAGATACTCGAGGGTAGTTGCCTCTGCTTGGGCAAGAAGCAACAGGGAACTGAAGTAGAGATGGGCTTATGTAGTTTCTTTGGAGAGCAGTTTTCTAAGGTGGAGATTTCCAGTGTGGGGATTGGTAGGATTTCAAACCAAGCCCAGGGATTGGTGGGATTTAATGCTCAGAAATTGTGGGTTTTCATGCTCAGGGATTGGTGAGTTCGGGTATGTTTTCAAACCTGGAAGTGGGCTTAGACCTATTACCCTACATTCCACATTTCTCTGTGTAACCTTGGCTGTCTTGGATCTTACTCTGTAGTCCAGGCTGGTCTTGAACTTATAGAGATCTGTGTGTCTCTGTCTCCATAGTGCGGTTACTAAAGGTGTTCAATAACATTGAGTTTTGAAGTGGGGTCTCTCATTGGCCTGGTGGCTTTGGGCTGGCTAGGGAGGGAACTATGGGAATCTGCCTGCCTTTCACCTCTCCATGGTTGAGATTACAGGCACTGTCACCTCAACCAGGCATTTTTACATGAGTTCTGGGAATTGAGCCCATCCCTCCCTGCTAAGAGCCGAGCACTTCACTGACTAAGCAGTCTCAACAACCCAGAAGCAGCATCTTCAATGTGATTAAATCACATTAAAAAATCTGACTTAAAGTTTTACTAAAATATGAAGAGAATTAAATGAGAATTGCGCCTTTCCTCAAGAAGTTGATGCTGATACTTAATATTTGCTTAAAAGTCAGATACAAAAATCTCTCCCTTTTGGTGCTCTTAAACCTTGGATATGTCAAAATCTGATGAATCTGTGTGAAAGTAAATTACTTTGAGAAAATTAATAACAATCTAAAGTTCATTTCTAGTGCACAATGATTTAAACTCTTAAATTTATCTCCAATAAGGTGCTTTATTCAACTTCTTGTGTTTGATAGTGATCTTGAAAACATAGTGAGCACCTTAAGCAGTCATAAAATTCAAATAGTACAAAAGGCTTTAAATTAAGAGAGTAAAAATCCACTTCTCAAATGAAAAATAATTATATATAACATGCATAAATTTTCATTACCAAAAGTGTAATATCAATTTAAAGCAAAGCAACTCAGCTTCCTTTCTTAATCCCTATTCTAACTGTATAGAAGTTCAAGATGTATAGACTTTTGGCCTGATTAATTTTTGTGTATGATATTTTTATTTATCTGCAAGGATTTTTTTTAAATAATAAAGTTTATAAAATAAAAAACTCACCTCTTCTCATCTAATATTATACTTACCTTTAATTTAACTAATTTAAAAAAATTCTTTCCAAATGTTTGCATTATCAATGTATTTTTTAAAAAGATACACCTATACTGTTTGAATTATTATTTTGTTAATTGTACATCAGTAGGCATTTGTGCCAATCAGCTTTCACTGCTATTCAAAATACCTGAGACAAATCATCTTAAAGGAGAAAAAGTTTACTTGGGGCTTATCGTTCCTGAGGTTTTAGTTTACTAGAACCATGGTCAACTGACTCTTGCTTTTGGGTCTATTGCTGGGCAGAACCCCATGGCTGGGAGTATTCCCTGGAACACAGGTTCATAAGTCTTGGAACTTGGGAAGCAAGGAGAGAGAGAGAGAGAGAGAGAGAGAGAGAGAGAGAGAGAGAGAGAGCGAGAGAGAGAGCGAGCTGTTATAAAATGCCCGAGTTGGGTGGATACTTACACACACACACACACACACACACACACACACACACACACACACACAAAGTTGTTTATTTACCTGACAGTTTGAGAGGCTGAAAGTTATAGATCACATGGCCATATCTGCTTGGCTTCTGGTGAGGGCCCCTAGTCTGCATCATTCTTTGTAAAAGCAGTGACAATAGAAAGAGGTTTGTTCAGGAGGAGCCAAGCACAGCAACTCAAGAGTGAACTGGAGTGTGAAGAAGCTATAAGTTCTTATGAATCCTTACCAAGTGTGGCCACCCCAATGGCTGAACTATTTTCCAGCAGACCATTGCCCCTGAAACATTGCCACCTCAACATTGTACACTGGAAGCCAGTGTACACAGGCAGCCTGGAGGTTGACACACTCCAACCACGACCAATCCTTGCCTCTTTTCCTGTGGATGACACTACTTCACCTTACCGAGATTAAACGCAGGTCCAAGTGCCCCCAGCTTGTGGCCAGCACACTGTCCCTCACAGAGTTCATGTGCCCCGTGTTTCAGGTGACTCCTCACATTCCTGTTCAGACTGGCTGTTATGTCTTTGACCTTGGTGGCAATTTCTGCTGTCCTGTGTCTCACTCTTGTGGTCCCTGCAGCCCTCCAGAAGTTTATCCCTAGTCTTCTTCCATTTCTACAGCTGCCCAGTAAGGGCATGGGCTCACCCAATCCCCTGCTCTGTGCAGTCTACACTTTCACATTGGTTTTGCCTCTTTAGTGTGGGGTTGAGAGAAAGGAGCTATGAGTATATACATATCTTCTGTCAGGTTATTTTTTTTTTCTTTTTTTAAGTTTACACTTAAAATCAACACAACAAAGACCCAAATCACTGTGCTAGAGAGATGGCCCTATAGATAAGAGCACTGGCTGTTCTTCCAGAGAATCTGGGGTTCAATTCCCAGCACCCACATGACAGCTCACAACCATCTAACTATAGTTCCAAGGAATCTGATGCCTTCTTCTAGGCTCTGTGGGCAGCAAAAACAAACAAGGTGCACAGACGTACATGCAGGCAAAACAACCACACACATAAAATAATAAAAAAGTTAAACATCCAAATCATATATTATTGAAGACGGTTTTATTGAGTTACAAGATAGAGCACATAAAAATGAACTGAGTAAACATTTTATTATTCATTGAAAACTAGAATCTTCACATATTAGAAAGTATTTTAAGTGACTGTTAACTACTTATGTAGTATTTGAAATCTTCACTATTAAGGCATTTGGTTATGTACTAAATCTTCAAATTAAACAAAACCAGCTAAAGTGTATATGAGATGAAGCAAATTCAAGCCTTATTAAACAAAAGGAACTTTTGCCTGTGAAGGAAATGTAGTACATGCTGAACACTACTCCCCCATCTGAGTCATGTAGTAATACTGTGGACTGTTTGGTTTTACTTCCCACATGCAACCAGAAAACATTGTACTTGTCATAGAGGTCTCCAGAAGGAGACCACATGCTATGCTGTATGCCACTTTCTGGTGATCCTGGGCAGCAACTGTGGGCAGCATCCCCGAGTCAGCCTCATGACCATAAGGTGAATCTCTCATATTTCATGGCTCACTGTGCTGAGACATATGGGCCTTGAAAGCTTAGTTATAGCAAATGCACTCTTCATGTATAATATTTTCAATTTATGATTGATTTATGAAAGGAACCCTCCCTGGCTGTCAATCAAGAAGCTCATGTGTCTTCCTTCGTCTTTCCCAGGAAGGAATCAAAGCCCCATAAATAGCATCCTAAAGTTTAAGCTCCTCTAACATTATCTGATTATAAATTTCTTTGGTCAATGGAACATAAGAGCTTTTCAAGTTATCCATGAAGTAAAGTGGGTCAGTGATCTTCAGTGGATGAAACCCTTCTTCCACCAATCGCATCTTCTGCAGCTTGAAAGTCTCTGTTGTTTCCATCTTATCCTAGGAGACAATTATAGATCTCAGTGGGACGTCATTAATATTCATGGAGGCTGCCTCAACTCCTTACCATATTTTGTATCTACTTAACTTCTTTATATTAATTTAACATTAGAAATAGAAAACTTTCATTCACCTGTAAGCTTTATTGAAATATTAGCTTACTGAATACACAATTATTAATGCAATCAATAAAATAAGCATGCTTGAAATACACATCCTATTTCATATCAACAGCAAAACAATATTATGAATGTTCAATATTGTAATAAGAGTTAGAGTTATAAAAGACAAAACTTATGATACAAGTTTTCTCAGGAGGTTCTGGTAATGTGTATCTCCGAGTGAAACAAAAGGACCAAGTTAGCTTTAATTCAGCCATATTGAGTGCTATCACATTTAAAATTTTTTGTTATGGGAAAAACTATCTTGTTAGGAATGTGACTTTAATTTTTCACAAAGCAGTTGTTTTATTCATATGGGCAGAAGTAAGTTTTAGTTCTGTGTTTTCTCACATTACTTATTACTATAATTAGTTTGTTCTATGTATTTTTTTTTGAGACAGGTGCTCACTATGTAGCCCTTCCTAGTCTTAAACTCATTATGTAGAACTCAGACAGCCACTTGCCCCTGTCTCTGACCCTCGGGTGCTAGGACTAAAGGTAATTGCAACCAACTTCTGCTGCATAAATATTTTGAGATTTGAATATGAAGCTTTAAATGTTAGGCTTTCTGTTAATTGTAGCAAATGAAATAAAATTCATAACTGTAATAACCAGTGTTTTGTTTGTAAAATTAATGATATTAAGAAAGTTTCTAAACACTGTCTTCAGAAGATATGTACAAGATACAGTTTTGACTTGCCACCCTTGGGGAGAGCATCTGTTTGTTCAGAGGTCCTGGCTAAAGAGGAAAAGAGCAGCTCTACAGAAAGGATAAAGATAAACCACAGCATCCTTATTCTTCTGACACAGCTTCAAGTCTAGCATCAAACAGCATCAACTTGATATCTTCCTGCTTTTCATTCTCAAAATTTACTAATACAAGTAAAATTTACACATTACTTAAAGGAGACAACAGTATTTTGCTACGACCCACTTTTGGGTTCTGGTTCTTACATTTGACAATAGATTTTGAAATTGTAAAATTACCTGAATTCTTAAGAATCTTGGACAGGCATAAGCTGGTAGAGATGTTACAACTTGGTCATACATCTTTTCTAAGTCTAAAGACTTGTTTGGCTTTAGAATAATAGAAGTCATTCCTGCTTTTCCTTCATAACCTTGGGGGAGGGTTGAAATAAAATCGATATTATTATGTGAATTTTCAGAATCAGCCCTGTCACACCCTCACTGCTACAGAGACACTTGGTCGGTTACAGAGGAAACAAAGCGGCTGTAACATAACTTGAGTCTGTGTCTTTCCCTGACATACATCTAATTGCTAGAAACAACTGAACAAAGGGAAGACCACACTTTGCCCTTGACTGTACTACAGAAATGAAACACAGTAGATTATGTATAATTTACATCCCACCAACACAAACATTAAGAAAGGACATATTTATTCAGAAGTAACTATAGCCCTGCACAGATGTACATTTTAATAATTAATGAAAAACAAAGGGAATATGTGAAGCTAAGAAAACTAGAAATGGGTTTCTGACTAAGGCACATTGCTTACTGACTGTCATGCCATCTGCAGACTGCAGAGGGCTGATGCATCTCTCCAGTCCTCAGGGTCAGTTTCTGAATCTGTCCCCTCTTTCCTCTGCTGCATCCCTGCCCTCCCCTCCACCCACAGGATAGCAGGAAACACTGCCCTGCCATTTGTACAAAAGGACACACTTCGATGACATTTAAACTAGAACGTGGTCCTGTTCAGCGAAATGCGCCAACAGATGCCATAACAAGAAAACTGAGATGATTACAAAGATCAGCTTCAACAACTTTCAAGCTGTAAGTCCCTGACCAGATTTTCTAGCTCCTGCCTAAAGACAGGCAAAAACAGGAAAATTTCTCTATATCCTGCCTCTAATGTGTCCATAAGGTTTCTTAGTTTACTCAGGGGCATTGCTTGCCAAGACAAGATGAAAACATTTTAGAATATTAATTTTAATATGCACAATTTTAAGTATTGATTAGGAAAGTAACGAGACCTAAAGAGGACATGTGTGCTCTCTTCTACAATTCTCAGAGTCATCAACATCCACATACCTGGCACAGGCACACCATACACATTTGCTTCCTGTATGAAGTCCAACCTGCCGATCACATCAGCGACCTCTGTGGTTGCAACGTTTTCTCCTTTCCACCTAAAAGACAGGCATTTCCAAGTGAGAGCACAAGCATATGAAGAGCCGGTTCCCACTTAGGGTTTCAGTGACTTGCATTTGGAGCTGTGAAGCAGCACCTAGTGGCCAAAAATAACTAGTTTCCAAGTAAAAGCCATGTCTACAAAAGCATTTTGTTCAGAGTTCGATAAAATCAGCAGCTGTGGCTTGGTTAAAATAACTTAGAGTTTTATTGGTATAAATTGTTCATCGTTAAATATTTTTTTAAAAAGCCATAAAAATAAATGGAGATAAGGAGGATATATCTGTACAAAAATCGCTATTTTGCGCAATAATAAAAATTAAGTTTAAAACTGTATTTTTTGTAGTAGTAGTTGAAAGAAATACTACACTTACCTCAGTACTTTAACTCACTTTAATTTCTAGGTATTGACTCTCTCAGTTCTGTCTTTTTAATGAAGACAATTCTAAAATTTATTCCCTAGTTGTCTATTCATTCACGCCCTTGTTAAGTACCTACTCTATGCTCTTGACTAGTCTATAGTCATTGCACAACAAAGTAAAATAAAATTTTTAGGCAGGCTAAGACAAGCTTGAGAAATTAGAACATAACATGTAAAGACAAGAGGGTGGCAGTCTCAGTTTCAAAATCTTTTCATTCCATCATAAATAATTTCAGGACTGGTGAGACACTTCTGTGAATGGAGGCACTTGTCTCCAAACCAGAATTCAATCCCTGAAACAGGCATGGCGGGAGGAGAGAAATGACTCCCCAAAGTCACATGCATGTGTGGCATGTACTCTCCCCACCAAGACCAAATGGAGACATAAGGGATAAGAAATGAATGAATGAAAAAAAAGAGAAATGAGTGAATGAATGAACGCTCTTACAGCTTTTCTGATTAATCCTCTCACCATTACACAGAGTACTTCTTTTTTACCCTAATTCTAGTTTCACATGTCACTTCTGTTTTTTATAGCCTACTGATTTGGTACAGGCTGATTAGTTTAAAACAATTATGGAGTTTGATATCAAGACTCAACTCATAGAAACAGATGGTAAGTGAATCTTTGAGTGGGGAATCAGGACTCCGTATGTCCTGTAGTAACATCAAGGTCTCAGCACTTTCCACACAAGAGGGGTTCACAGGCACAGGACCAGTGGACACCTAGAGTCATTCCTACCTGAAAGTGTCTCCAATACGGTCCCAAAAATAAAGGAAGTTCTCATGATCTTGGACCATTAGGTCTCCTGTATTGAAGTAAACATCTCCCTTCTTAAAAACATCAAAAAGCAGCTTGCTTTTTGTGTGCTTGTAACAGCCAGCATAGCCAAAGAAGGGATTTTTCGTATGTACACGAGAAATAAGAAGTCCAGGTTCTCCTGCAAGAGAAAGGGTCATTTTTTTGCAGCCATCTGATCTGACAATTATCATTACAGACACTGCACTGAATCAAGTTATAGCAGAGAAACCCAGCTATTATGGTTCTTATCTTTCTTTGTACTTGTTTCCATCCTACTTAATGCCATTCATTCTTTGTGCTTATATCCTTCCACAAACAGCTTTGCAAAAGTCAATGACAAAAGAATTATATGAAAAGGAAATGTGAATTTAATTCTTCTTATATTCTGGGTTGACAGACTAAAGATAATGTCTCTTGGAATTGCACATATTTTTAGCTCAATTAATACTGAGAACAAATAACTCTATAAATTTAGTAAGCTAATAATAGCAGTACATATTAGTGACCATGTCAGCTCCACAATTACAATTGTATTTAATTTTATTAGCAATTGTTTGAACTGTTATTACAATTCTTATTTCACTGACAAAAGAACTAATGCCAAGAAGGATCATGTCAGCTTCAAAATCGGAAAAAGAAGTAGATGTAGAACTCAAAATGAAGGCTTTATGGTTTTGGATCAAAGAGTCCATGAAGCAGGCTGACCCAATTAACACAGGAGTAGAGTGTTTAGTCCTCTAGGATGTTATTCTGGAAACACTTGACAGGGAAAGGAAGGGCATTGAAAGATTTCCCATCTCATGACCCTTATTAAGGCCACTCACTCTTAGACACTTATCTGAAATCATTATTCCAGTCAAACCTATTTAATCAAAGCTGTGCTTGCTGATCCGCAAGATGAGATTACATTTGAAATAAAGGAAAGCAGCTTCCACAGCAGCAGCCTTCAAGGCTGTTGCTACCTCCTTCTGGACTAGCTGCAGTGGTGTGAAGCATCCCATAGGGCTCTTAGCAAGGTTTGCACCATACCTCTCTGGATGAAGGCGTATGCTCAGCTCCCACAGATCTCCACTGACTCATTCTCGTCATTTACTTCCCACTAGCACCATCCATACCAGCATCGTCACCATAGTCATACTGCACACTCCATCCAACATCACTGTTCTTACAGCATTGCCCGTCTATCCATCCCCTTCTATTCACAAACCCCTAAGAAAGGTCTTGGTTACATTTTCTTTTCACCAATGCAGAAAGGAAGGCAGACATAGCAATGTGCCCAGTGTCATGCAGCTGTAGAAGTCACACACACATAAAAGTGGCGTGTACGCTTCAGGACAAGGCCCATCCCTTTAAAGCCTCACATATATTGTATAGTCAGTCTCTCAGGCTACACTTAATATTACAGAATTTAAAAAAAAAAAATCTTTTGTCTTCTTCAAAGTTTATACTGTTTGTTTCTACTTCTGAGAATGTAGATATTACTCTTTTTTTCTGCAAATTATTGTAAATGCTTGCATAGGTCATGGTGTTTTCATGTCTTTCCTGATGAGGCATAATTTACACAATGATACAATGTTATAATATAAAGTAAAATGCAGTGGCTCATCATGAGGATTCCAAAGTGGAGTCAGTCAGCATATTTAGAAATGGTGGAATTATGCAAGCATGTTCCCAAGGCTCAAGTTCCAGTTTCAGATTTCATGGTGATTATGAACAAACACACTACAAAGGACCTCAGGTTCTCCAAATCTTTTCCTCTTGGACAGTGTCTGTGGCATTGAATGAAAAGACATTTAGAAATGTTTGCTTTATTATTTGTGTGTGTGTGTGTGTGTGTGTGGAGTGTGTGAGTGTGTGTGTTTGTGTGGTGTGTGTGTGTATTTGTGGAGTGTGTGTGGTGTGTGTGTATGTATGTGTGTGGTGTATGTGTGTGTGGAGTATGTGTATATGTGTATGTGTGGAGTGTGTGTGTTTGTGTGGAGTGTGTGAGTGTGTGTGTGTTTGTGTGGTGTGTGTTTGTGGAGTGTGTGTGTGGTGTGTGTTTGTGGAGTGTGTGTGTGGTGTGTGTGTGTGGAGTGTGTGTGTGAATATGTGTGTGGAGTGTGTGTGTGGAGTGTGTGTGGAGTGTGTGTGGAGTATGTGTGTGTGTGTGTAGTGTGTGTGGAGTGTGTGTGTGGAGTGTGTGTGTGGTGTGTGTGTGGAGTGTGTGTGTGTGAGTGTGTGGAGTGTGTGTGTGGAGTGTGTGTGTGTGAGTGTGTGGAGTGTGTGAGTGTGTGTGTGGAGTGTGTGTGTGTGTGAGTGTGTGTGTGTGTGAGTGCAATCGAGTGCAGGTGCTCTCACAGGCCAGACATTCATATCTCTTGGGACTGGAGTTGCTGGCAGTTGTGAGCTGCCTGACGCAGGTGCTAGGAATTAGAGCAAACCTCTGTCTGTACCATTTCTCCAATCACTAAGATTTTTTTTAAGTAAACAATACCTTCTTTTGCAATCTTTCCAGTACCGGTAAGAGAAACAGAACAACTTGTTTTATCACACTGAAGTAAGATCTAGGAAGTCACCTCTGGTAGAGTGCAAGGCAGCCTGAGGGACTGCCTCATACTGGGATGTTGCTCACATCTACATAGACAGCACCTCTAAACAATTCTAAGTGCACATCTATATTTTTGTTTTTAATGATGACATGGAGGTAATTGGGACCTTTGTTTTCAGCATCATTTCTAAACTGAAATGTTTAGATAGTCCACCTTGAGAGAGGGATAAAATCGAGGAGAGTAGGAGGCAAGGAGTCATGAAGGTTTGTGTACACCATTTATTTGTCAACATGAGGCTGGTGAAATAAATAATGTCACTTCTGATTTACATATGGAAATGAGCCTCACATCAGCTAATTTGCCCACAGTTCCTAAGTGTCAAAACCCAAATTTAAATCAGAGGTGGCCTGACTTCTCCTTCTACCTAGGATGACAAATTAATTTAATATTATTAGTAATATGTGATATAGACATTTGCCATGATTACTGTTAGGGGATATTTAATCACAGTGTTAACCCCGAGTTTGCACTTGCGTTGATTAAATGCAATTAACCTTGGATCAGGAGGCTAAGTTAGTAACTAGCTGACAGGAAGTAATCATAGAACATCAGAGGGCACCTAGGGATGGAAGGACACAGGAAGTGGTAGGGAGGGATTTGGAATGGCACAGCCTTTTCTGGTTTGGTGGAGCAGAAAGGTCAAAGGTTTAGCTAGTTGCTGCTCAGATTCTCTGGGATGGCACAAATTTTCACCCAGCCTTTGAATCTTGAGTCTTATTTATAAATAGAACGATAGAGGTTTAGTTAAAGCTACCTTTAGTGGCAGAGACAGGGCCTGTGCCAGTGGGAACAGAATTCCCCTGGGTTGTAGTCTGAGTAGCCAGGCTGCTGCTAGAGGTGCAGGTCCTTAACTGCAGAGTCAAAGTTGCTGGCTGTAACAGCAATAGGTTAAGGCCCAGCCACTGTGCCAAAATTAAAGCAACAGACTACAAACTAGATGTGTATATAAACATAAATAAAAACCAAAAAGATGCCACTTTACAGTTTAACAATTTGGCACTTACACAGCCTAACGAGGGCTCTGCAGCCAGCAGGTAAGCCAGTCCGCCTGCGCTATGACTCAAGGTCACTTCCATCCCAAGCAGCCTTTCTTCCTTTCCTGAACTCAGCAACAGTCATGTGTGAATTCAGGTTCTTTGCTTAAAATGACATATTCATGATTCGTCTTACCCGTTCTCACATGGTGACACCAGCCTTCATCGTTCCTCATTGGTTCATCTTTTTGAAAGTCGTATGTTACCAACTCAAAAGCAAAAAACAGCTGCAAACCGAAAGGAAGCAAAAAACACATGAACATTGGTCTGTTTTTGCAACAACAGGAACTGCCAGTGTATTCCATGCTCAATTTAAATGAGGGAATTTAACTGGCAAAAAATTAAATAACGATTTGAAGTTGAAATGGAAGGCATTTGTAAGCAGGCCCCCTACCTGGCATTCGTTTTTTTCCCTTTGTGCTTTGCTTCACCTGAGCATTTTAGGCTTCACCACAGGGAATGAAAGAAGCTGCAGAAGGTACCCAGAACTGGTTTCCTCATCCTCCTCGCCATGCACAGGAGGACCTGTTTCTAAGCCTTTGAAAACATCTCCTCTAAAAGGAAATTTTAAACAGAACTAAACGATGAGCTCTGAATTATCAGGGTTTCTGTTGGTGGTGGTGTTTTCCTCCAGGAAAGTGACCAACTGCCTAAGAACTAGAGTAACTTGACAACTGTTTGGCTTTACTCTGGGTCTTTCAAGTCAACTCCTCTAGACTAATGTGTAGGAGTTTGCCTACCATTGTGGCATGAGAAGATGTGTTTGGTAGAATGTCCTACTCACTCAAAAGCCAAGCTAAAGGATGTCCATCTCTCTCATCTTCAAATGGTTCTAGCTGCCCCTGTGATGGTTACATCACAGTGTCATACTGAACACACCCATTCTATCAAGTCTGACCTGCCAGTGAACTAAAAATTGTTCACTCCAACTGCCTCATTATATTTATAAGGAAAGAGAGGTTTTATTTTATTGGCCATTTAAACATGTAACCTTATTAAACGGAATTAGAAAACAGATTTAACATGGAAGGAATGAAATGGGGTGAGATTAATTATAAGGTCAGGTAAATGAGGAGGAAAAAATGAGGAGGGGGTGATAAAAATGCACAATTAGAACAAGTAAATTTAAAAAATAAAAAGAATCACTAAGATAGATATAATAGTAATATCAAAATATAAGTAAAGCAATATCTGGTGCTTAATATTAGTAAAAATAGCTTGTAATCAGATCCACAATTCACTATCCAATAGTTTTTAAAATTATACTTAGTTATTTACTGTGAGCGTGTATTTGTAAATGTGTATGGGCACATGTGTGCCATCATACGGTGTGTGTGTGTGTGTGTGTGTGTAAGGGAGGGGGGTCAGAGTTGATTCTTTCCTTCTGCTATGTGGTTCCCAGGATAGACACCTTTATCCAATGAGCTCTCTCACCATCCCACAAGTCATCATTTTAATTCAGTTAAATGACAGCATCTAAGGAACAATGGCTCTGGGAGTACCTGCTACAACTACACCCATTTCTATCATCAGCTGCATAGATATCTATGTTGTTAAGGAACCAAAAAATTCTTTTCCTCAGTTAATACATGAAGAACTTGAAAAAAGGCACCTAGGTTATAAAGTTCAATAGCAGTTGAGCTGCACTGAAACTGGCTCTCTGTGTCTGTAGCTGAGAATTTTGCCTTGAAAATGATACCTGCCCCCTCCCTCAACTTCTTTTTCATTGTCTCCAAGAGCTTGCAGTGCTGTTCTTGTTAGGGATGTGCTCATTTGTCTCAGCAATCAGATAGTAACAACTGGACTTTTGAATGGGGTTTCTAAGCCCGTGCCAACAAAGCTGTGGCTGGGCTTTGGGTTACACAGTTGCTGCATCCCAAGAGCAGGAGGAAATGGAGGTCAGTCATGTGGGCTGCAGAGGTTTTCTGATTCTAGGAGATAAGACACATAGCCTTGTCCTTGATACTCTCCTGGGTTCGGACCATGAGCTGTTCCCTTGGCTGGATTTAGACTGTCCTTTACCTGTGATAAGCTGTCACCTAGAGTGTAACAGCTTCCAGTCAGCTGATCCCTTGTCATCTTCAATCCCAAGGGTGGCCTTGAGGCTCCTGGATTTGCAAATGATGTCAGAAATGTAGTCAGAAATGTGCACTGACTGCATTTGGTGAATTTTGCTCATGGTGGAGAGATGATTAGTTTACATTTAAGATGATTAAACAGCTTGCAAAAGTGTTAGGAAATGAGCTTTTTAATAATCTCACATTTTATCTTCATAGTATATCCTAGGATATGCTTTATGGAAGAAATACCACCTGCACTTCCTCCCTATTATCTCCTGTATATGTTGATAATACATACATTTTTTGTTTTCAGATTATGTTTCCACCCCATTTAGTGGCATAACGTGGATCTATTCAATCTTCCGTATTTAAATGGATTTATTGCTGGCCATAGAACTTTTTAAATTGAAGGTGACATTTTCTAGGTTTTGTTTTATTTTCAGGTGGACTAGATGTTTTCATGGAACATATTTTTTCCAGAGAAGTACGTCATTCTTAACACACACACACACACACACACACACACACACACACACTTCTCGGATTATGTGTAAAACTTAGAAAACTCCTATGTTGCCCTCATAGTGGGAGAGCAATTTAACATTTAATAAAATCCCTAGGTGAAAGACGAAGATATTTCTCATTTTTTGCATTCTGCTTGCATTTTTGATAGCTTCCTATGCCATGTCTCATCGTTAACTAAGCTATGTTTTGTACATCCCACAGTTCTTTTTTTTATTTTTTAGGTTTTGTTTTGTTTTTTGCTTCAGCATCACCTGTTATTTACATTTTGTTCACTGATTTCACTAGTGCACATTTCCCCTGTTATTCTACACCATACATCATTTCCTAGAACATTTTATGTGATATTCACTTCTATAGATATTCATTCTTCTTTATTTATTTCTTTGAGATGAGCATGTCTAGTTTTTAATTAGTTTGTTGATCTATGTTGCCCCTGAAACTTCCTCTTTTCAATTTTTGAAGAGAATCCCATTGTGATCTTTTCTTGAATTTATAGAAAAAAAGTATGTTTGCAAGCGTTTCTTGATCACTTTGCAGAACTTACTTTTTTGATGTGATTTGTATTTCATAGGCTGACTTTTGTTTATGTTCAGGGTTTCCTTTGTTTCAGGCTTGGCCTTCCATAAATTTCATGTTTAGCCTTCACAAATTATTTCCCTAGATTAGCACCAGAAAGATCATAATTTTGAGTTTGTTTCACACATATATTGTTTCTGGATTTCTATTTTGTTTACACTGGGTACATTTACTGGATGTAGTCTCTTTAAAGAGCACAGATTACAGCTGTACACATATTAGGGTTGCAGGAACCCACACTGCTATCTACTTCCTCCCTCCCCTGTAACGTTCTCTCTCTAGTTGGAAGCTGATTCCCCTAAACATTTAGATTTTAAGTTTTTGTTTTTGCTTGTTTGTTTGGCTTGAGAAAGGGTCTACAGGGCCCAGACTGTGTAGACTGTGTAGACTAGGCTGTCCTCAAACTCAGATCCAGCTGCCTCTTCCCTCAAATGCTTGTATTAAAAGAATGCACCACAATGCTAAGCAAGGTTTCAAGTTTTAAGAGACATACTTAAAAATCACCTTTGTCAGGGGTCAAGACCAGGTTACAGAAACCCATAGAGACAGCTGACCTGAATGAGGGGGAGCTCATGGACTCCAGACTGATAGCTATTAAAAAGGATCAGTAATTATAATGCTTCATTTAAAAATTCTCCAAAAGATGGCATATAAGTTAGTGAAAAACCAGCATTGGACCGACTCAGACTTCCTGAACATGGGTCTCAGTTAGAAGGCCTAGGCAGTCTATGGGACCTCTGACAGTGGAACCAGGATGTATCCCTGGTGCACAAAAGGACTTCGGGAGCACATTCCTCGGGCAGGGATGCTCCCTTAACCTAGAGGCAGGTGGCCTAGTGCCTACTCCAAATTACTTGACGGATTTTGATGATCCCTCCTAGAAGGCTTCACACTCCTTGGGGAATGGAAGGGAAATGGGACAGGGTGGGGACATGGGAGGATAGGAGGATGAGGGAACTAGGATTCATATGTAAAATAAAAAAAGATAATAATAATAATAATAGTCTCCTTTGCCTAATTACATAATAATCATTGCTTTTTTATTACTAGCAATATAAACAGACAACATGTAGCTGAAATGATAAAAAGACAAACTAGAATTCACACAGTATCAGATACAACTTTAAAAAGAAACCATACTATGAACAACTGAACTAAATTAATTTAAAATCAGTATTTTTCTGAAAAGTATGGAGACAATGTGGTGTTTTTTTATTATTGTCATTGCAAGTCTCTCGGGGGTAAACTATAATGAAGTCAACCCAGCAACACAAAACACCGTCATCTTCATTATACTCTTGGGGGCTTCATATGAATGCAATTTCTAAAAATTTCCTAAGTGGTCCAATAATTTCTTTTAATGTTTCCAAAATGCTTGAAAATAAAGGGTATTATGTATTTAACAGATACAAGTCCCACATACATCACTTAATTTAAGTACCTTGTTTATTGTATTATTCAAATATCCTACATTATTGCAATTTTGTTTATTTCTCCTTGAGGTGTTTTTTTAACGATTTTAAGATTGTGTCAACAAAGCTTTCACCTTTCTTGAGAATTTTTTAAAATAATCTTTATTTACATGTATGTGCACATGTGTTTTGTAAGTGCACCTCCTGGGTGTGCAGGTGCCTGAAGTGGCCAGAAGAGGGCATTAGATCCCAGGGAGCTGAGTTAGAAGGTGGCTGGGAGAAGCTGCCTGAGAGGGTGCTCATGGTCTCTGTGTCCTAACCATTGATGGAGCTCTCCAGACCTTGCATTCATTTTCATTCTTAAAAATATGTATATTATTGCTGTGTACTAGGAACTTTTATTTTGCATAAATGATAAAAGGTAATGAGAAGTGGGAGAAAAATACTCAACAGGAATGAAAAGAGACTTGCTCAGGATTTGTGCTCTAGTCTTAAACACTGAACTTGAAACCGAGCAAAAGTGAACAGTTATCATGCTGCCGAGGGAGCATGTGGCACAGGACTGAAGTTTGCCGAGCCCACAGCATTGCAGTTCACCCTTTGCAAATGACCTCAGCTTCAAAAAATGTGATGAAATCTTTTTACAACATAGAAACTTAAGCTCCAGACAAGAGTTTGTAGACCCCAAAGCATTTCCTATAGAGAAAGGGCTATTCTTACCTTGTAAAAGAAGTTTGCTCTCCCTACTGATCCGATCTTCCCGGTGTGGTTCATGAAACATATGTTTCCTTCTGTAGCGCCGTAAAATTCGCACATTTTAATATTTCCGAATCTGTCTAAAAACTGTCTCCACACATCGCTGCTCATGCCGTTTCCAACCGCCAAACGCACCTGATGGTCCTTATCCCCTTCTCTCTTTTAAAAGAAAAGAGTTCACTTGTAAATAACTCAAGCTTCTCTCTCTCCTTTATTGGTGCTGTTTCTATGGCAACTGTCATAACGTTAACAGGGTATGTGCAACAGCAGACGAGATGCAAACACAAGAAGAAAGCCAGAGTTTTGTTGGAGAATCGTGTCCAGCAGCTAACAAATAACGCTGGGCTGTATCTTGTTCCTTTTTATATATGGAGGGGCATTCTGTTCAAACTATAAATGACAAATACTCTTTTGGGGAATAGATACTAAGAAGGAAGTATATTTCAGGATGGGCAAAATTTTTAAAGGCTTATGAACCAAAGTTTATTTTCATAGACCTAACATTTATTACCTATATAATTTTGATATTGATTCCCTGATTCCCACACTGATTCTGCTTATTCATATTTTTAAGATAGTACATGCATAATGCAGCTTACTGGCAACTCTCAAGTATCAACATAGGAGGTAACAGTTAATTAAACCCTTAGAACCAATGTAATAGTCAACTGAAAATGAGACAATGGGATGTAACTCATGGCTTAGAATGCACGAACTTGGCCCATGTTTGTTTGTTTGGTTTTTAATTAAAGAAGAAAGGTATTTTCTTCTATGTTCAAGAAACAATGTCAGTTAATGTGGGTAATGCACATTTAAGTTCAAGTAAGACTATGTTATCATTATAATCATTGTAAATTGATAATTTGCTCAGAACTACTTCTGGGTAACATATGACTATTTGATCACGATATGTTTCAACCTCTTCACTAAACACCACCAAGTGGTTTTAAATAAGACATTTTAATCTATGTATGCTTAAGAATAAATAGAAATGAATGAGAAGTGATTGGGAACCTGAAATGTAAACAGATAATAAGACATGACTAAGGATGGGTGAGGTGGATACACAGTCTATATGTGGGACCCAACAAATACTCCTCAATGTCAAGAAAGTGTGGAATGGGGAAGCTATAAAGCTTGCCTGCTCCTTGTTGCCTAAATGCTAGGGAAGTTACTCTCTGAATTCCAGATATAAAGAAACTCAGTTTGTGCTGAGATGTTAGTGAAACAGGAGAGTTTAAATGAAAGCACATTTCAGGTGAGGGAATCATCCTATACTGATAGCATTTTCTGTGACTCAGTGATTATGGACAAGAGCAGCAAACTCTTGAGTTATCAGATAAATTACTTAAGAGAAAACACATCAATTTCTAGAAGTGCTTCAAAGAAATGACTTGATCTCTCCCCAGTCATCTTAGAATCTGAACTTTGGGGTTCCAAATACTGTACATCTTAACTAGATTTTTTCAAATGCCATTTTGAAATATTATTAAGCATCCATTTTTAAAGGATGAAGCCTATGTATAATATGTGTGGGCTGCCTTGAAAACTGTCATAGAGAAAATTGTATATACCTGCAGAAAAAAAAAATAAAATTAACAGCAATTTCTAAAAGGGATGGGAGGCTATCAAGCTATGTATTCAAGGTCAAAATTTTTAAAATAATAAATATCAGGGTAGTACTTGAAGATTTTCTGGTAAAGGGGAAGAGTGAGAGAGACAGAGAGAGATGGTAGAGAGGCAGAGACAGAGAGAGACAGAGAGACAGAGACAAAGAGAGATCATTTTTAAAGGAGCAGTGAAACTATTTTTGGCTATTTTATATTCTATGAATGTATTGTGTAAAACTTTAAAAATAGAACATGTCTTCAGAGAACTTAAAATTAAACAATGTGAGCTGGAGTTGGAGAGAGGAGTCAGTGGTTAAGTGTACTTGCTGTTCTTGTGGGGCACCTGAGTTCTGCTGCAGAGGAACTGAGTTCAGGCCCCAGCAACTATGCCAGTCTCCAAACCACCTGTAACTTCAGCTCCTGGGGTTCAGAGGACACCTACACGTATGTAGCATACTCAACAGAAACATACACATTCACATAAATAAATAAAAATTTTATAGAGATATGTAAAACTAAACATGTATCTTTAGTAGACAGGAACTAAATAGAACACAAAGGATGCTGCCAACCTAAATAAGAGAGTATCACAGATAGAACAATGAATAAACAAACAGCAGAAAGGAATGAAAGGGTCTAGAAAATGGAGTATATATGTGTATGAGTGAATGGACATTTACTCTTGAATGTCACTAATGTTTATAGTGCATTACATGTGCACAGAGCAGATAACTAAGACATTCAAGGTATCGAATGAATTAAAATTTTATAAAATCACTGCACTGTCATTTATGTGGGAAAATATTATCTTATGACAGCACACGACAAATCAAGGATCAGTGTTATATTCTTTAAAGTAATTAAATTACTCACGGGACTAAAAGGAAAGTGTTCAAGTTCTAAATTAAGTATGTGTGTGTATGTGCACACACATGTGTTTTTCAATGAGTCTCAATGATACTTGAAACTCTAAACATCCAAATACATTCACTTCTGAAAGTAAAACATGAAAATTTATTTTCCTGGGTGATATAATGTTATTATTGCACAGGTCATTGAGATATTGGAAGTTACTGATTTCATTATTCACAGTTTTATTTCCTTGATTCAAGTTGCTAATACAGCTAATAATTCACACCACCAGAGGAACTAGGGTACAAGGTGTATTCTAAGAGATTCATATAAAGTCCCTCACAGAACTGGTAAGGGACAAGTCCCCCCAGAGATCAGGGGAAGTGGGGGGGCAGTGAATGGAGAGAGAAGTAGGAGAAAACGAAGGGGAGGAAAGGAAAACATGTGCAACCAGGAAGATTGAGCCTGGTTAGGAATAGAAGACAGGAAAGAGAGAGAGAGAGAGAGAGAGAGAGAGAGAGAGAGAGAGAGAGAGAGAACATAAAAGAGGGAGCCAATATTGGTTTGAAGATAAAATTGAACACAAAGAAAGGTCTAGAGAACTACAAGACTGCTGCCAAATAACAATTTGAGCTTCCGTGGAAAGGCTACCATAAATGCCCTTCCCGGAGAGTGAGATCAACAACTAACTTATCCATGGAGCCCTCAACTAATGCCTGTTGGAAACAGGAGCAAACACCCATACATAAACACTGAGTCAAAGTAGAACTCAGATGCAGATGGAGAGGATAAGACAAAGCGGCAGAAACACATAGAGACAACTTACCTGAACAAGGAGGCGCTAACGGGCCACCAGACTGATAGCTGGGAAGCCAGCATGGGCTGACTCAGGCCCTCCTGAATATGGGTCTCAGCCAGAAGGACTGAGCAGTCTAAGGGACCTCAGACAGTGGAGCCAGGATGTATCCCTGGTGCACAAAAGGTCCTTGCGAACACATCCCCCATGGAGGGATAACTGCCTTAATCTAGAGACAGGAGAGAAGCCCTAGTCCCTACTTCACATGACCTGTCAGATCTACATGACCCCAACTGGATGGCATTCCCCTACATATGGAATTGGGGTGGAGGTATGGGAGGGTAGGGTGGTTAGAGTGCATGTGAGAGGGCAGAGAGGGTAAAAGGGAGGAAAGGAGGGAGGGAGAAAGGGAGGGAGGGAGAGGGAACTGGGATCGACATGTAAAATAATAAATTAAATTAAAAAAATTCTTTGACTTCAAAATTTAAGTTCAAGGACAAGTTACTGGGGAAAAGGATTTCTATTTTTATTTCCACAGAAAATGAAAAGCTGTGGATTCCTTCCAGACTAATGTGGTTTGATCAAGCCAGACTGCCTGAAACAGAGTACCAGGTGTTCCTACATTCAAAACAGCTGGACAAAGCAGCCTTACAGACTACAGCCAGGATTTCTGCATCTTCTTAGAATCCCCCATGACAGCGCCCCTTATCAGCAGGAAGTAGTTTGAAAAGAACGACGCCCAAATTCCCAATATTGTCTATAAATGTTTGTTTTCATTTAAATGGACTTGGTTATATAAAATAAATAAATAAAGAAAAAAAAAGAAATATGTGCATATAATTGAAAATAATTTGCTTACAACAATAAAAATTTAACATCACAAATCCCTATATCAAGCCCAAAAGTTAATCTTTCTGGTGCATACGCTTATGCATACAACCACTCTTATACATATGTTCATATATGGAGGGAGGGAAAGAAACAAAAGGAGATTTAAAAGTCTTATTTTACATGAACATAAATTTTGCTTTGCACAGTGTCTAATATTATCATGAAGTCTAAATCAAGCTTTGACAAACTACTGCCTTCAAGGAGCATATGTGGCCCACCTGTGTGTTCCTACCAATCCAATAATGCACAGTCATGCCTGTTTATTAGGAGATGATCTATGATAGATGTAGATGAGATTTTGAATATGGATTTTGTATCTAGAAAAGCAATACAAATTCTTTTGATAGTCTTTTCTATAGTATTTTTTCTCTGACATTTACATACTTTCTTAATTTGCGTAGACATACTTGACTAAGTCACAAAAATCCATACTTTATTTTATTAAGACTATCTCAATAGTTTCAGTAATGAAAGGCTACACAAACATGAGCTTCTAATGCAGCTTTTCTCTTAATATTTCTGGAAAAGCATACAGAATCCTTTACAACTTTACTTCCAGGTGTTTATATAGTCATATCCTCACATACACACACATGAGGGATAGAGATAGATGATGGATGGATAGAGAGATGATAGATAGACAGACAGATATATGGTAGATAGATACATAGATAAGCTATTATCTAAACCACAGAAAATACTCGTTTATTCTTCCACCATTTAAAGTCCCTTATAACAGCTAAACAGATTTCTGACAGTTAGAACTTCTATCCCAGATATCCTATGGGCTTTGTTCTCAGTAGACATGTCCATCTGGGTTTCAGTACAAAGATCAAGACTGGTATGATGGCATTCATGAAGAAGTCACACCAACATTGAAACTCTGGTTTCTTTTAAAAATCTTCTTGTTCAGCTACTATCTGGTGTTACAGGAACTGAAGGGAAGTTACCTACTACCAGATCATCAATTCTTTCTCAGAAAGTCTCTTTCTTCTATCCAACTTTGGGAAAACCTAACACAACCAGGCCGAAGACTCTCTCTAGACGCCTACAAAACTGAAACTCCACAGTTTCTCTTTAAATGCAGAAAACTCTACATAACTTTAAGTTTTAAGGAAATGAGAATGTTAGTTGCTACATAGAGAAGCAGAAGTGAGATACACTGAAAACAAAATCAAATAACTACTTCCTCCAGCCCAGCATGGATGGCTGTTTACTGCAGAAAGCAGGATTTCATCCTCAATCATCTAAAGCTCAGACAGCAGATGGTAGGAAAGTTTGGTCCCTCCACTATGACTCTAGGTAAGACCTCTTGGTTCTGAAGTCTTCTGATAATCATGGATGCATGCATATGCCTGCCATGCATATTTAAGAACAATCATGTGTTGTTGGCTTTCCTTGCAATAATACATTGAATTAGTACAGGCATCAAGTTGTGTACTGAGTATCGCATAGATCATAGTTTAAAACCCCATGTACATATTTTTATTTTAAAATAACGATAAGGAAGGATATGGAAACTACATGTTCCTTAAATAAATCGAGATTTGCTGACAAAAAATTTTTAGACAGCTTGTAACAAGAGGAGGTTGGGTAGACGAGGTCTTCCCATGGTGGACTCCAAAATCACAAATAAAAGCATCCTGTAGATCAGGCTCTCCAAGTTCACATTCTTTTCTATGTTAATCTGTCCTGTGCAATCCTAAATACTCAATGAAGTTTTATTGAGGGATCCCGGCCTAGTCTCACTGGGATTGGAAATAATTTGTGGAGGAAAAAGTAGTGTTAATATTCTAACCAGGAAAGAGATGTCCTAGTCTATCATCCTTGGCAGACATGCTGAGTGAGGGAACTTAGGCCAGGAGGTGTAGCTCAGAGCCATAGCTCCACTGTCCGTCCTCAAGGAGCATAGTATGCTCCCTAACATTTCTGGAAGGGGTTGATGCTGAATTGATTCAAGGAAAAATAATCACTTCTTTGCTGTGTTTGCTGTCGAGGGTGTTTAGAAAGTCAGAAAGCCTTCCTTCCTTCCTTCCTTCCTTCCTTCCTTCCTTCCTTCCTTCCTTCCTTCCTTCCTTTCTTTCTTTCTTTCTTTCTTTCTTTCTTTCTTTCTTTCTTTCTTTCTAAGCATTTGGAAAGATAAATGAGACCAGAGCAAAGACAAGGACAGAAAAAGCAAATAAGCCACAGAGACACACTCCAGACTCTGACAAATCTCTGTGCCTACCTATTTCTCATGCAGTGACAACTGAAAAAAAGGATGTCAGTTCCACTTTTGGGGGTTGAGGGATAAGTACAAATAAAGTTTCCTTTTAACACTAAAACACATTAACAGGAATGCACCCACTATAATCATTTATTCAAAAGAAAAATGGAAGAGTATTATCGGTGTCATTTTTAAAGTCCAGAGTTTTAAAGCATTTTCGACTTTAAACTTGGAGTTATTTTTCTGCAAACACCATATGCACCTAATTTCATAATAAAATCAATTAGCCTGGACTTGAAGTGCACTAGAATATGGCTCTGTGTTATTCTGCTACAGAGCAAAGCATACATTTTACTGGATGGTCTGCCTCTTATTTTGTTGGGTTTTTATACTTACTTTATCTTGTATACTATAAGCATGTATGTGTTTCTGATAGATTATGCTCTGGAGGACTGTGGAGTGAAAGCAAAGAAACCAAATTCCGCCACTCTGGCCCTTACTCCCAGTGCAATCTTCAGCATCTCCAGCAACGGTTTCTTACCTGAGGCTGTTTGCACAGATAACGGCAAAGTTCTCCAATGTACTGAAACACAGTCACATTATATTTCTTGCAATCATTCCAAAACTGGCTGGCAGAAAATTTCTTCTTTAGCACACATGTGGCACCTGCAAGAAGAAATAAAAATAGGCACTAAGTCACCACAAGGCACAGATGATCCTGTTGTCTTAATAGTTTCACCCACCTACAGGGCCTTCACAACTCATCCTCAGTCATTGGCATTGAGTTCATTTGGAACTATTACCTTTATAGAACAATAACCGTTTAGTGTAGTCATGTGGTAACTATGGTTTTTCTACTGCAAATGTGCTTTTTGCAGTTTGCAGAAAGGAAGTACTTTCAAAATCAGAAAGAATTACATGCACACTATCACTAGCATTGGAATTACATGTATACTACCACAAGCATTTGAAGTTTATGTATACTACCACAGTGTTAGAAGTACATGGATACTACCACAAGTGTTGGAATTGTATGTACACTACCACAAGCACTGGGAAAGACATCCATCCTTCTCAGAGATGAATGATATTGACTCATTTTATCCTTGCACAATAACATGCAGTTTGTTCTGAAGACTTTAAAGCAGATTTGTCATATGCCAAAGTTGAGATTTAAGAAGGTATATTAAAATTTCACCAACAAAGTTCACTAATAGATATAGTACCTAGCTTTAATAACATGGTGTCATATATTTAACTGGGATATAATTCATGTACCAAATAATTCACAATTTAATTTATATGCATACAAACCAGTGGTTTTCCTTATAGATACAAGTCATCATCTACTTCTAGGTCTTTGTTTTTATTACCCCAAAGGAACTTTATCACCTTAACAATCATTTCAATTTCTAACTCCCCTTACCCTTAGCAGCCATTTATGTACATCTACCTCTTAATAGGTTGGTTGTAGACTAATATGTCATATAATGTCTGGTCCTTTCATTTACTATAAAATGTGATTTGGGTTTGTTATTTTGTAACATGTGTCAATATTTCATCCTCTTTATGTTTTAGTATATTCATGGATATGCACTATTTTATTTATAAGTCATTGATAATATGTACTTGGGTTAGTCCTTTTTTGACAATAAACAATAATGGTTAAGGCACACTCATGACTGAGTGTGGCTGCATGTTTTAGTTCCCTTGGGCAGAGATCCATGAGTAGAATCACTTGGTCATGTGACTACCCTATGTTTTACTGGCTCTGAGTTCTAACACAAATACCCTCACAGTGGATGGAATCTTGATTCCACCTCTGCTCCTAGCTGTTCAAGAAGAGGTGCTGGGGCAGTTAGTAAAGCAGCCTAAGGCATCTCTATAGCTCAAAGCAGCCTAAGGCATCTCTACAGCTCAGTCCATAAGAGTATTGGTGTGTGGGTGGGATCCCTGGAGCTCTGGCTGGCAGTTGATTCTGTCATGGAGGGTTTGGTACTAGGCTTCAAGAACAGATCAAGGTCTAATACCTCTCTTCCACAGAGGCTCTCTCTCTCTCTCTTCTCTTTCTCTCTCCTCTCTCTCTCCTCCCTCTCTCTAATAAGCTGCTTAAAGTTACTTAAAGGACAACATGGTGACAGCTCCTTCCCTTGTGGTTTGTTCCGCATGCCCTTTCATTTTGCTATACTAAAATCAGGTGCTCTGGCCTGTCACCCCGTTTCCTTAGTTCCCACAAGGCAATCTCTATGTTTATGTACAAATGATCATCTTGCTGTGTCTGTGGAGAAGTGACTATGATCCTACACTCATTCCTAATAATCCAATAACAGGAATGGATGTCTCTGTACAGTATCTTACAGACACTTTTAATGACTGACACTTATTATCTCTGAATGATGAACACACTCTAAATAAGCTACAATCATATATCAGGCATACACAAGAAGTAGTGAATGAGCTCTATTATTTCTGAACTAGTTTATTAAACATCATCTTGAATATCTACAAACGAAATCTCCTGAACCATCAGCTCTATTACAAAAGTTCTGAGGTGTTTGGGACAGGCTGTGGGGAGAAGAGAAACTGGCCTTACCAATTCCTTCCCCTCACTTGTATGTGTAGCATCAATTTGTTCTCCTTGCCTGGAAGAGGTGGAGTCCATTTTCCCACTGTTCCTATCTTGATGCTTTGTCTGAGCTGTGATTTGTTTTGCACAGCAGAATGCTGCTGAAACCACCTTTGTTCTTTTGGGGAGTTAGCTCGAAACAATTATGTAGCTGACATATTTACTCCCTGTGACTGACTGCCTGGGGATAGCTGGGCTAGTCTCTTAGAGAATGAGCAACTGCAAGGAAAAAAGGAGTCTGCAAATGCCCAGGACTTTGGCTTTTGCAGTTCATGAATGTGCTATGACATGAAAATGTGCCCTTGCCACAAATATTACATTGTAATTGTGCAAAATCCATGTAGTTCCTCAGAATTCTATGAATACTTTTAAGTTCTAATGAATATAAGTACTGTTTAAGCATTCTGATGATGTATCAAAAAGAAAAGAAACTTACCCAACTCTACACACCCACCAATTCCGAGGAGAGCCCCTGAACTATGGTACAGAGGGAGGGTTATATAAATAATGTCGTCAGCTGTGCAACCAAAAGCCCACAGCCCAAAAGATCCCTTCAACACCTGTAACTGACTAATCACAGCTGCTTTGGGTAGACCTGGAAGAGAAGAAAAACACAAACAAAAAATTAACCCACACATATTCTCTGAGGGATTATTGAGTTCTCTGAGGGACCCCCATCCATGTTAAAGGTCATACAAATTGATGGCAGCAAAGTACAGTATCATAATTATGGGGGGTGGAATATAGGTGAAGAACCAAAATTATCTTTGGATAGCTTATAATCTTTAGAAAATGGCTACTTATGTTTAACCTTTGTGTGAGAGCTAATTTTCTCATGACCATTGGGTAAAATTTTTTGAATGTGTTACTAAGATTAGCAGGATTCTAGCCTCCACCAACCTATAGCTAAGAATGCTTTCAAGTAATATCTGAAACTTATTGAAAAAAAATTCCCACTTTGCTATAACTGGGTTATCTAATGCCACTGCCATATTCACTGAATAAATTGATTTATACTTGTCTTTGCTCTGTAGCTACAGAAGTTCACGAAACCCTTTCAATGGCAGAACATGTATATATCCCATAACATATAGATCTATGAAAGAAAGATTATTCTGACACCAACAACACAAAGAATTGAGACAAAAATATATCACATTATTCTACATGCATGGCAGGAAATGTGCAATGGGAATTGTTGGTGTGATGAAGTTCTACATTCTTTAATCTATTCAAAAGAAGTCAAAATTACACAATCAAAGTACAGTGTCTGCCAGAAACTAATGCGACAAATGCTAACATCTGCAAATATACACCCCCCCAAAATGAGAGGAGTCATAACAGAAACCTAAATTACATTTACATTACAAAGTAGGGCTTTTCCAGAGAGCAATTCCATCAAGTAGGACTCTCACTGTGGACCATTCACGTCATGTTTAAACATGTCTTGTCATATGATCCTTTAAAAATGCAAGGTTCATGAAATATGTTGGAATGATTCCATGCATTTCATGAGTCAAACAGTTTCCTTCTCTGTCTATCATTCTTTTACACATAGTTTCTTATGAAAACATACAGTTGTAAGTAATATATGAAATATTTACATTTTGCATAGTGCCTTGGTACTGGCATCTACTGGCAGATATTTGCCTTATTGTTTTGGGATTTGCTATTGTTATAGAAGATTATAATGTCAGTGTAAGAAATTCATCCATGACCTGATAGGTTAACCCATATGACATTGTATGATCATGGTTGAATGCCAGCACTTTTATGCCTTTCCAGCTATATATGTCTCCATCATGGAATATAACTTGTCTTCCTAGTGATTGATATCATCACTTCAATTAATTCATTTAGATTGTATCCTATTCTTCTTGAGTGTAAATGGTCTTAGTTTTTCAAGTGATTTCCTATACAGGCCTCCATTTTGAACTTATCTCATTGTGTCTTGAAATGGGGTTCAGGGGTAAAGGGCTTGTCCAGTCAGAATTAGAGAGCATGGAGACCTGAATTCCATCCCCAGAGCCACAAACACTAACAAATCTATTTCATTAATAAACTGGTTGTCATAAAATGCTAAGGGGATGAGGCCCAAGCAGGGGTTTTTCATGGATACAGGAAGAGAAGCAAAGCCTGAGGGACCACAGGAGGCATCCAAGGAAGGGTCACAGTCCACAGAGACTTCAAATGCCCTCCAGGAAGTCTCCATTGGACCTTCTTCTATATCAGTCCTCACAGACTTTGTGTCTTATTTCATTAATAGAATCAGACTTGACCTCATATATGAAGTTGGGATAATATTTACCACTATATTAAAGTCATATACTTTCTTAAAAAGAATCCTTTCTAACTCTTCCTAATGGCTTAGACATTTACACCCTATAATGAGAATTTCTCGAAGTCTTTCCCCAAAAACTACATGTAAATATATGAAGTGAGACTAGCTTTAGTCATGATTATAAAAATAGCTTTCTGTTCCTCATGCAGAGGAGCAAATATTGTTGCTTTTTCTGCTACAGAGAAGCTCTGTGCCTCAGTCACCACATTATTCATTCTATGGAGTGTCCCTGCAAGACACAGAGAACCAGCTCTTCAATTAAATGCTTGTCCTGGAGAGGCTGGTTCAGAACCTGATACACTACATCCAATGCTCCTGTCACCTTTCAAGGCACTTTAGCAAATTTTTTGAGCCTGTTACCCTTACTAGTTTAGTTATTTTTCGGTATATAATAAACTCATGAACTTACCTGAAAAAAAAGGAAGATGCTTAGTAAATTTTTTGATAAAGAAGACAAGAGATAGGAACTTATCAAGAAAAAAAAAGATCAAAAGTTGATAAGGTTTGGCTTTGAATAAAGAAAATAAGCAGGAGTATAAATCAAACCTGATTAGATCTTGTTAACACATTATGCTCAAGCAAAAAGCTAACACATTGATGAGCTTAAGATTCAAGGAGCATAGAAATTTTGAAACAGACATCAGTGATATTTCTCAAACTAATGTAGTCATAAAGCCCTTATTTGCATCTTTCTTGGTGAACTTTTTCATGAGAGGCATTACCTTGGGTGGGCTCTACAGTTTTTGACACCTTTAAACTTTTCTGAATCCTGACACTGGAACTCTACAAATGTAGTCCGTGTTGAAAGGTTCACTTGAGATAGGGCCCAGGAAGAAGTGAGGAGTTAGAATCTGTCTGGTGACTGTAGAGCTAGGACAAGGGTAGGAAAGGCTAGCACATGCCCAAAGAGAGCCAATTTCAAGAGAAGGACAGTGTGGGAACTAACTGTGAAGCTTGGCTCTGATATTAGACAAAATGAGGAGGGATCCATAAAGATGTATATAAATGGGTAACTCTATATGATAACAACAGACACAGGAAACAAGCTGGGGCTTGGTTTCTTCCTGGGACTTACAGCAATATTTGAATATATTGCTGCCCTATTCAGGTCGAGGTGGCCTTGTTATAGATTCCTGATTCAGTCTCTTCAAGTCTATCTAGTATCTACAGACTAGATTGAACATATTAGCAGATCCTTCACACAAAAGAGACAGACCGAAGATAGCAGCTACAAAGTTTCATTAAAGAGATGAGAGTGCAGTGAGTCATGGCATGCATCTAATAAAACCAGACTTAGGGGGAAGCCAAAGGAAAGCTGGTTTGTCTCTAAAGAACCCCAGAAAGGCTCATAAATAGGGAGTAGAAGATAAAGGTGTGACCATAAATAGGCTGCTGTGTGGGAAGTTCTGCTTGCCAAACAATTCTAGCCATGAGCTCATGAGCTGTCCCGTCTACCCTGTAGATAGCTGAGGGTTTTTTTTCTTTAAAAAAATACAGGCTAAAACAGGGAGATAAGAGGAAGTGTACAAACATTCCTAGCTTCCCACTCCCCCTTTAAAATTTGCTGTTTTTCTTTTTGAAAATTCTTTTCTGAGACATCTGAATAGTTCACAGAAAAAGACAAGCAATCAAGTGTATTTTGCTACACACACACACACACACACACACACACACACACACACGATAAAGATAAGAAATCAGTGGTACCCTGCTTCACATACATACAAGGTCATAATGGAGACAAGCTTCACACACACACACACACACACACACACACACACACACACACACGATAAAGATAAGAAATCAGTGGTACCCTGCTTCACATACATACAAGGTCATAATGGAGACAAGCTTCACACACACACACACACACACACACACACACACACACAGAGAGAGAGAGAGAGAGAGAGAGAGAGAGAGAGAGAGAGAGAGTCAGAGAGACAGAGAGACAGAGCGACAGAGAGCAAAGCCTAGGTGACAAAATCATCTGTAAATAAATCCAACCCAGGCATGCTGAACTTCTACTCGTGAGGTGATTTGCTTTGGGGTTTATTACCTAAACTTTTAAGTATGACCTGCCAGTCAATAGAAGCCCCAAAAGAAAATTCACTAGCATAAAAGAAAGTAATAAAACTATAACATAAAAAGGACAAGAAAAACAGACAAGATAAAGATATTTGAAAGGTATGAGACAATAAATTATCAAGACAAGGGTAGGAAAGGCTAGCACATGCCCAAAGAGAGCCGATTTCAAGAGAAGGACAGTGTGGAAATGTACAATAATACATTTCTAAACAGAATAAAAATAATAAAATACATGATTATGAAATATCTCAAAAAGTAAATCAAAAACTAAGAGAAGGGAAATAGAAAAACAAAACAAAACAGGGAATTGATGACTTAGTTTAAAAGACTCAATTTTTAAAACTAGAAAGGCTCCAAAGATCAGAGAACAACAACAACAACAAAAAATATCAAAGAGGAAATAAAGGTGTATTATTTTTGAATTTCAAATGCACATAGGACTATAAGACATTAATGTCTAGACTGAAAATAGCCTTAGCTTCCCAGAAAATGACTAAACAAGACCAGTGCCGATGTTAGTCACCAGAATGCTGTGAGCTCCTGAAGATTCAAGGACAAGAAGCACAAAAATAAAGACTTCTTAGCATGTACACGGAAAATCCAAAGTCAAAATCCTGAATAAAAAGATCCAATGTACAATTCGACAGAAAAGAAAGTTGTTTGGGATATGTAAGGATTTGTAGAAGTGTTCCCATCCATGTGTCCCTTATCAAGACACTGCAGAGAACAGGGCAGAGAGAGAGACACCAAAGAGTGACATAGCTGAGGCTCTAGTGAGAAGGACCAAGAACAGAAAATGTTGAAGGAATTCCCAGGATGATGGTGAAGAACAAACATAAGACAATAGTAACTGGACATGGGTATTCAAACATTGACATATCTACTGCTACATTTCCTCACTGAGGAAGAGCTAGCATCACAAATTAGCTCAACATCATTGTTATGTCAGGATCCATGTTGTTGGAAACCAAGTTATCCCTTTCAGCTATGAGAACTTTCTATCACCACACAAGACTGTGCTACAGTAACATGTCCCCCATGTCACTGACCCATACCCTCACAACCCATAGATTTTGACCATGACAAACCCAGTGCTCAACACCAGAGCCGTGTATAATTCTTTCTTCATGAGTATTCTCTTTAATCTAGTCCATTCATGATCCCTATACAGTAATCTAAGGGACAGTGCCTCTGGGCTGAATTCAATAAGCCTCCATCCACTGGCTTTTCTCCCACACAGCACTTGAGGTAAAGTCCCACATTGCCTCTTGACCTTCTACAGGCATCCTTAAGCTTTCTAGACTTGTGTGTAGTCCATTTCTTTTCTTTGCTCTCTTTTGTTTTCATCCTTCTTCATGTCTCACCTACCACACATAAGCAATCCTCCCTCCAACCAACAGTTCCCTGAAGCTAACCATCTTAGCTTCCCAAGGATAGTAAGAGAGGGCCTTCAAAACTTAAGTTACGAAAGAAAACAAACTGAAGTTGGAAACTACAACCTTTTATATAAAACAGTTCTAGGTGGATAGAAAATTCTGCTATCAAGCAAACAAACCAAAAGAATAATTACTTCCAGATTTAGAGGAGTTTAACCTGAAAGAAAACAAACAATAGTATGGGTCCAAAGTTAGAACACCAATCAGACAGCATTTGGAAGATCTAAGTATGGTAGGAAGAGAAAGTGGCTGCATCTCAAAGGGTGGAGGGTGGGATGCAGATGAACAGAGAACCAGTAGTAGGTGATGTTTGTGCCTGGGTCTAAGTGTCTGCTAGGTTACCTGTTCTTTCTAGACCTAGAGAAGCATTTTGTTGTTGTTAGAAAAAAGGGGGGGGGTGGCTCATATTTGCTGCCTTTGAAGCAGCTTTTCTCTCACATATCTACAACTTTTTTCCCAATTCTGTGCCATATAATTGTACTATAATAACTGCAAAATGAGTGGTGCTTTCTCTCTCAGCCAGTTGTGCAACTGCACCAAATACCTCAGCTTTGACCTTGAAGATGAAATAAATAAATGTCTGCTACAATCTACTCCAGTTTGTTCTCATGGGAGTGGACATGTAGAGACTGTCTTTAAGTCATGACCAACTTGTTATCCGAACACATCCACAAAGATGACAAACTGGCTAAGCATCTTCTTCTGCTGGGATATAAAGAAATCCACTTCCAAAAGTTATTCTTTTTCACAAACCAATGTCCAAATAAATTTATGCTGAGAAACTTGTATGTGAGGGCATTTTTTGAGTTTATTTATTCTAATCCTATTTTAAAGCATATTTAAAATATAGTCTGCTTTCTAAAGGACTACGAGAGATAAGATGCACAAAATGATTGACTGGTAAGTTTTTTTTTAATTATTGTGCACTAGTAGTTATGCTTCCAATAGGGCACACATATAGCTTATAGCAATATTGAAACAGGGAAACAAAATCCCAACATTAAACTGATCACAGAATCTCTTTGGCCTGTCATTCACAGCTCTCCATGCTTCCTAAAAGTCAGAGAATTCTTGTGAAGTCTCAAACAGTTCATTATTGTGTTTTGGTTATCACCATTTAACCCTTCTTCCCAGTAAAGGGAGCTAAGCTACTTGAGCCCATTTTGTTTCTTCCTCTGGATTCACAAAACCTTTGACTCTTCCAGTGAATCACAAGACTCAATTATTCTGGGAGTTAGGAAAGCTACCACCTGCACGAAAACTCAAGACTAGGAAGAACTGTACTAGAGTCCATTACCAAGGTTTATAAACACAGAAGGCAAATGAAAAAGAGAACAAAAAAGGAAAGGAACATGACTCCTAGGTATGATGGAGGAGAAATTTTATTTATATTTATAAAAGGGAGAGCATAGTCAGACACCAGAACATCTGAGAGAGATCAGAGTGGACAACATGATGAGGCTGAGCAGGGTCATGTGGGGAGGAAGGGGGGGAAGGAGAAAGGAGAGAGGCAAACAAGCTGCAGAAGCTAGAAGGCAAGTGTACAAAAGGGCCGGTAATCAAAATGGTCGCATTATGTAGGGAAGAGCCTTGGTGGGAAGGGCAGAACTGGGCTGGAGAGGTAGAGGGCAGGGTACTTCAGCCATGCTGTATAGCAGGTAGAGATTGAGGGATGCTGGGTGAACCTGGCAGCCAGGTTCACTTGATATGTTAAATAGGCACCTCAGCCTTTTGTCCAGAATTGAAACTGAAGGTTATCTAGCAACTACCTAAACTATTCTCTTCATTATTAGGTAAGTGAATCTGAGGACCAGAAACATAGCAAAAATCTTGTCAAAGAAATTGGCTGAGCTGATGTCATCAGTCCTTTGACTCTCCAACCCTAAGGAAATCTCCTGAGGTTAAGGCTAATGAGCATGAGGATTTACCAAACTTGAAACAATTCACCTTTTAAAGTCAAAGCAATTAACTTTCCAGCCTGCATTTGAAAGTTCCTGGACATGAGATCCTTAGGTCTTCTTTCAGGCTTGCTTTCTCAGATGTTAATTTGTTACAAATGACTGGAAAATATAGTGTTGCTTTTCAGACAGGGTCTCGCTATGTTTCTCTGTTTGGCCTGGAACTCATTCTGTAGACTGGGCTATCCTTGAACTCATAATAGAGTACTGCTTGCCTCTGCCTCCCAAGTGCTGGGATCATGAATGAAAATAACACTGCAGGATTTAGTGGAGTAGGTTTATTGTAGATACGAGGGAGAGAAGCATCTAGAAGAGTCCAGACTGGCTAAGGCTATGAGAGGAGTGGGGGGGGGGGGTGAGGAAAGGAAGGGAGGAAGGGAAGAGAGAGGGAGGCAAAAGAGGATCCAAGGACCAAGAGACCTGGCCAAAATGGCCAGGGAAGGGTAGGGTGTCAGTCAGGATGACTCTGTAACAGGTACTGAGATACTGAGTGAATCTGGTGGCCAGGTCCATTCTGATATGTTGAATAGACTCCTCAGCCATTAGTCCTGAGTTTGAGACCAAACACATCAGACCTAAGATTTTATTATTTTTAATTATTTGTATGTGCATGTCTGTGTAGTACCTGTAATACCAGCATTGGACACACACACACACACACACACACACACACACACACACACACACCAGGTGGACCAAAGAGCTGGCTATCCAGTCAACCTAGAAAACAACAACAACAATCTAATGAGAGCCCTTTCTGAAGCTACATAGTAGAGAGCAATGGAGGTCACCTGACAACCTATTCTGGCCTCCACATATGCACATATGCATGCAGAGGTACACACACAAACACACACACACACACACACACACAGAGAGAGAGAGAGAGAGAGAGAGAGAGAGAGAGAGAGAGAGAGAGAGAGAGAGAACATACCTGTTGTTCCAGAGGTAAAAATATAGAGGCAAGTAGACTTGAGGCTTGAGGTGACATGATGACTTGTTGGCACTGGCTCATCAGAGGCGAGGCTCAACTTTTCTTTGAGGGAAACTATACCCTGTGGGACAGAATCCTTCATTCCCCAAACACTAATGTGCTTGGGGAGGCTGGGAAGGATTTCTTCTATACTTCCAAGCAGATCTGAAAATCAAGCAATTACAAATAAGCAAAAAACTCAAATCTCAAATTTCTTCTTCTGTAGACATTTTGGCCATCCACACACTTGCCTCCTTGCCATGGATAAAAATGACCTTGGTCTCATCTAAGATCAGATTAAGCTTCTCTTCCTTCCTGCCTTCTCTTTACAAGTGTCTTAAATAGTCTAATAGATAATATTACTAAAATTATTATATTTTCCCAATTTTTAAATAAAACTACTTCCTAGATTCTCTTCAAATTTAAATTTAGAATACTGCAGTAGACATCTTCTTCTACAGCTTGGAAGTTAATTATTCCAGGAGAATCTGAGTGCTAAAATGCTCAACCTTGATGAAACAAGTCTGAGGGAAACCCCTTGGCTGCTTTGGAGTCATAACATCTCTGTGGTTTCAAGGCCATTTTGAAGCCAAAGGTTAATGAATTCAGAGGGAGGCCTGTTCTCTCAGCACCATGATAAATAAAGTTGCAAACCCCCGGAGCAGAGGGGGCAGAAAGAATGCTTTTCAGAACAGAAGAAGGTCCTCTATGTGAGACAATGTAACATGGGCAGCTGAGTGTGATAGGCAGAGGCTCCAGCTGCAGTCTGGGATCTCAAGGCCAAGGACAGAAGGGAAGTCACACAGACAAAAGGGGCAATTGCTATTGAGAGCTGAGTTTCCACACTGAAAATCTTTGGAGTGCAGTTAGTTCAAGGGTCCGAGTATTACGGAATGGAAAAGCAACCAGGATACTAATTTTAAGAAACTAAAGGCAATGCTGAGTAGAGGTGGGACTAAGTTATTTGAAACTCTCCCCTGGCCACTAACATGGTATAAGACACCATTCTCTAAAGAAGGTCCTTGATGGGGACGAAGGGTAATGAGAAGATGGTGAGCCTCTTGTGAGGAAGCGTTAGATATTAAGGCACTCAGTACATAGTACACCTACAGTACACAAAAGAAACAAAAATCTACCCGTCCTAAAAACCCTTTCTCCAAAATATAGAAAGAACTATGTTTGTCACATTCTTTTTGCTATAATTCTGCCTTAGTTTAACATGGCTCTCTGAAAGTAAAGTAAAATTTTTACATTTATGATAATTGTTAGTTTTTTTCCACCATGTTTCTATGATATGCTATTCTTTCCAAGGTGTGAGGGACTTCTGATTGCTGGATAGTGTATTTTAACTAGAGATCTACACTAGCATCTTTGATGACACCCACTGGCAATTTGTAATTTATGTAAACAGGAACAAGGATTACTGACAACCCCCAGAGACTGAGTAAAGGCAAAGAAAAATTCTTTCTTCCTGGGCAGTGTTGGCTTGCCTTTAATCCCAGCACTTGGGAGGCAGAGACAGGTGAATCTCTGTGAGTTCGAGGTCAGCCTGGTCTTCAGAGTGAGTTCCAGGACAGGCTCCCAAGAGTCTTTATTACACATTTCTGTGAATATGATCTTGCAACTCCTTCGCTTTAGACTGTTAGCCTCCAGAACTAGGCAAAATATACTTCCCTTACTTTAAGCACCCAGTGTAGGGTATTTTATCACGTCAGCTCTAGGAAGATAATAAGCCAAGTTCTCAAAATGATGCCTAATGAGCAATCAAAATGAAATTAAGTAATTCTAAAACTACATATGCCTCATAAGAAACCAGTGACTTGGACTGGAGAGTTGGAGCTCAGAGGTAAGAATGTGTGTTGTTCCTGCAGTGGACTTGAGTTCAGTGTCCAGCACCAATACCAGGCAGCTCACAATGGCCTATAATCCGGTTCCTGTGGTCAGATGCCCTCTTCTGGTATCTTTGGGCACCTGTACTCAAGTACACATATCCCCCACAAATACCTTTACAATAGCCTCAGGCAAAAAAAATAAATAAATACAAAGTAACATCCTTTAATCAAGCAAATAAGAGACTTGAATAAGAAAAAATTTAAGGCATTGAAGGACCTGAAAAAGACACCAGAAGAGGGAAAGATCTGTTTCCTCTTTTATGTATATGTTAGTTTTCAACATGTATGCTTTAATCTAAATAACCACAGAGGTTAGGTACATGCTATGGGACTGGAGTGGAGGAAAAGATCTCTCAAGGAATATAAAATAAAATTAGTGCTATGGAGAGACAAAGGGAATCTAGAATAGGAGGATTGAATAGAGAGGAGGATGGGAGTGCAGGGCAAACAAAGGAATATGGGGAGGGACAACTAACACTAAAGGCCATTTGAAAAAAATGATATGGAAATCTATCACTATAGAAGATTCCTAAAATACATACATACACGAAACAAATCTAAGTGGAGTTACCAAATAATAGGGGAACCAATACCCTAATTAGATATCTTAAGCTATCAGATGAAAACTCCAGAGGCAGAAATTGGTTATGTCTTGTTGAGTCAGTGGCCAAAGGGACACCATAGGAATCCCCAAATATCACAAGCTATTGCCATTGTTATTCTTTGATCTCCAAAGGCCCTATTGCTGAACACTTATGTATGTCCTCAAACACGGTAGCTGTCAAACAGGTGCCTACCTAGAAGCTTCAGTCTTAATGACTAGCATCCATGGTACACCAGTGTCACCCAGCTACAAACCCTGTGACCAACAACAGTGACCTAGCTGCAAGGATACTGGTGGAATAGTGGCACAAAGTGGAGGAGGTGGAAAGACTATAAAAGCCAGAGGTGATGGTTGACTCCAAGCAAAAAGTGTCTTCCTGGCACAATACGACTGATGTACATATTGGACTTACAGATACAGTGATAGCATGCATGCACAGGACCTATGCAGGTTCAGTCACAAGGGGTCCCAGCACTGAGACTGGGAGAGACACAGGGTTCCATGCCAAACCAGTTGCTCTCTGCTGGAAAAGGGAAGGTCAGTTTTCTCCAATGGAGTCTCACTGGGTGTGTCAACAACACTTCAGGGCAGGCGCTATGACCAGGAATCTTTTTAATTTCATTTGCTTTTTTTTTTTTTTTTTTAGCTTTTGCTTGTTTTTGTTTGTTTGTTTTTTAATTTTCTATTTTGTGTGTGAAACCTGTGTGTGTGTGTGTGTGTGTGTGTGTGTGTGTGTTGTTTGAGAGAGAACATAAAGGTGGGTGGGTAGGCAAATCAGGAGGATCTGAGGGAAGGGAGAAAACATGATCAAAATGTATTGTTTGAGAAATTCTTTCTTCAATAAAATTAATTAATATAATTAAATGAATCAAAACTCATAAATAGAACCTGTAAGAAACTCAAAACAAAAACATAAATGAGGCATTACATTGCCAGGGAGCATGGGGTTAGGTCTTAAAATGTCTTATTAATCTTTATTTCTACCACAAATACAAATTAAGCAAAATTTACAGTTCTGGTGAATGTGTGCAGTTATGCAGTATTCTGACTCGGTTCTGGTGAGTGTATATGCTATGCAGTTATGCAGTATCCTGATTCTCAGTTCTGGTGAGTGTGTGCAGTTATGCAGTATCCTGACTCTCGGTTCTGGTGAGTGTATATGCTATGCAGTTATGCAGTATCCTGATTCTCAGTTCTGGTGAGTGTATGCAGTTATGCAGTGTCCTGACTCTCAGTTCTGGTGAGTGTATGCAGTTATGTAGTATCCTGCTGTGTTCAGGCTGCTTTGGCAAGGAATGAAAACCCACAAGGATGACTGAAAGGAAAGACAAGACATAAATAGAAAGACAGCACAAAGGATCTAGTTTTTCAAAACAACAGTTCTAGATTTTGTTTAAATGATTCTTTCTGGATTTTTTTAACTTAACAATACTGTCAACTACTTATTGTAGTTATCATGATTTCAAATTGGCCATCTGGAATTATAAACCAACGGCTAAGTTTCCATAACTTCTTAATGAATTGGGATAGAAGTACAATGTTGCAATATGACTGTGGCCTGAATCCTTGTTGAAATTGCAAAGTCTAGGGAATAGTGAGGATTTACAAAGGGTGGCAATGTTTACGAGAATGAAGGAAATGGGCAAAAGTCAAAGGAAACATAATTTCGTATCCTTCAAATTCAGCTGAGGTAGAATTTTCAAATATAATCCTTTCAATAATGTTTGAAAATGACAGTGGGTATTGTAATGAACGTTTGAAACATCAGCGTGAGAATACAGGGACTGGAGGATGACTCAATGGTAAGAGCATTTCCTGTTCTAGAGGACCAGAATTCAGTTCCCAGTACCCACATGGCATGTCCAGCTCCAAAAGGTCTGACATCCTCTTTCTATTCTCTGAAGGTGCTCATATGCACGTGGGTTTCACCAACCCCTAGCCTGAAGTAAAAGAGAAAATACTTGTTATAAAAAAGGATAAGGAAACACTAGTTACTTATCATTATCAGTTTCAACAACATGAAAAAGGCTTCCTTCATTTTAAAAGAAAAATCAGAATATGGATGTGGCTTAAAATAATACTGTTTAATTATACACACACACACACACACACACACATATATATATATATATATTATAATTATTTGTGATGGCATTTTGCCTGCATGTATGTGTCTTCACACCATGTACACCTTTGGTGTCTGTGGAGACCAAATTAAGTCTTTTCAGATCCACTGGAATTAGAGTTGTCGACAAGGCTGTGAGCCCCATGTGTGTGCTGAAAATCAAACCCTGGTCCTCTGGAGAAACAGCTAAGGCTGTTAAATAATACTCTTTAAACACATTAATGAAACTCAACTCATTAAGATTTTCTCCTCAAAGAAATGTACAAACCATTGATCGCTGCAGAGCAGCAGACACTTCAAGAGTGCCAAATGCCCTAGCCAGTCTGCTGCTTACCACACCTGCCACACACACCACACCATTCTGGCTAGATTTCTGGTTAAAGCAGCTGGGATCTGTGCTTGGGAGACTACAATAGATGCAGTTGGGTAGTAAAATGTGTGAGTACATGAGTCAGATGGATTTCCTATGATATTTAATGGTGTCCATTGCAGAAGATGACTCAATGCATTTGGATTTGTTTCTTTTGTTTGTTGTTTTTTTTCT